TTCAAATTATAGCATTATGCCCTTTTATAAAGATAATAAACATATTTTAAGAATATAAACTAAAATATTTTTAGATCATAAATGCCAAGTGCATTATTTTAGGATTATTTTCCTTTCATACATTTTATAGTGTACCAATTTTTAAAATATTATTGATCATTTAATAGTGAAGATAATAAATTCCTATCATAGAACAGTGAGAGTCTATACAAATTCTTTGTAAACTAAATCCTGAAAAAATGATGAATAATAATTGATTAGTGAATTTAAGATAAACAGCCCCTATGCAAAATAGAAAAGTTTATTGATATTTCATATAATCATCTCTTGGGCATGATTAGTGGCATCCTTACATGGAGCTGCACGAGTGTGGACGCTATGATAAAGCTCATATATGTGCTGCAAGGAGGATATTTCGATCACAGATAGGTCAACTATCTGAACCAAAGACAGAATGAAAACACACACACACAATTATTTTTATAATGGCAACCATATAAAACCCCTTGAGTCATTCTTACCCTAATTATTTAGTAAATACACTCTTACTAACGGCTTCCATATTCCGTGTCACAAACAATGTGGGAGACTCAGATTTGCTCACAGGAGCAAAATGACCTGCATTTTCATGGGAGACAACACAGTATTTCATCGCCTACAGGCAGGAGGAATACCAGGCTGGCCAATAGTGCTAGAAATTATAAGGTTCTACTAATCCAAACAGGTTTGCAAGGCTACAGTTCTCTACTTGAAATGAGGAAACCCACTTATATTTAAGAGTCCCACATTGCCCATGAACCCACAGGTCACGAGCTCATACACTGCATGTAACATCTCAAAGCTTTGAGAGAAGAAACAATATGAAATAAATTCTGTATTTTATTCAAGATTTCCTCCATACCTGTAGACTTTAAACAGTTTAAAGTGATCTTATTTTCCCCATGACATATCTTCCTATCTGTTAGGTTTTTGAGGCTCTCATACTCTATAGACTTATTTTTCAACATTTCTTCCTTTAAGTTCATATCATTTTGCAAGTTGAGATATTCTTCACTTTTTCAAGTTTTTTTGCAGTTTTTTTTTGTTCTTGAACTAAAATTATAGCAGATATAAAGCACAAAAACGTTCTTAAGGAATAAGTACTGAAATTTAAAATAAAAGATAAAAGCCTCGTGTTGACAGCCAACACATACGTTACTTTAATAGTACTGTAACATTTAGAAAATAACACCTCACATAACTCACCATACAAATAGAAACATCAAATTTTTCAGTATCATAAAGTAACATGTGAAATAAATATCTGAATAAAAATATGGTGAAAATGCCTTACTTTTCAATTCCTTCATTTTTTTCCACACTTAACACAAAAATTTCAAATAAGTATGAAAATTAAAAAAAAACTTTCAGTCCATCAACATTTAACACACTATGAAAATCTGAACTAATAAACAGTTAAAAATGGTAAAATTAGTATTGGAGCAATTGAGATAGTCATAGTAGGAAAAAGCACAATCTGGCTATGTAATTGTATTTGATCACAGCCTATTAGTGAGTCTCTCTAAAAAATGTAAGAATTCAAGTACAAGATAAAGCTTAAACTAAAGATCTTATAACATGCACATACGGATTTAATCTTTTGCCTTAGCCAGTCTTTGAAATACACATAGGAAAATATCTAAAGGAAACTTTAATTTCTTTTCAACAACTAACTGTTCCTCAAAGAATGTTTATATCAGGTTCACAGTGATCTGAGCTCAGAAGGCAGACTATCACCCAGTCCTTGGTTATCAGAAGGAATGTGACTATGCATAAGGTAAAATGAGGCAGCTCATCACAGCCGCCAGAGTCATCTGAACAGGTGAGAGGAAAGGACACTATGATGTGCCCAGGAAAAGAAAAGTGAGCCTCTGAGGATGTCCAGACCCGGGTGCACATCCTGTGATTACAGACCAGACAATAGATGGAGCTTGTTGGTAACTACATAATTGGTGTCTAATGTCTTACCTAAACCAAAAACATGTATTTTATTTACTCACTCTGTGTCACCAATGCTACTATGACTGCCATCAGCAGAAGTAAACAAAGGACCCCGAGAGCCACGGCGACGCGATGCCAGGGCATTGTGCACTCTTAAATAAACAAAAGAAAGCAGGAAAATCATCACCAGGGAAAGAGCTTGACCTGCCACTAACCAGAACTTGGGACAACATGTGAAATAAAAAGACAATCGTCTGTAAAATTTTACACAGATCCATCCTACACACTGACTGAAATTGCAGTACCAATATTGTAGATTTCTGGCTGACATACATCCATCATGGAAATTCTATGCACAGAAACAGTTTCATAGGATTTCATTGTTTTATTGTTCACTTTGGTCTTGACCTCTCAGTCTTCCCCACTCAGCTTCACAAGCAGATAGAATGACAGTCATGTGCTGCCTGGCCTGGGACTATAAGATTCCAATGGTGCATCTTTCACAGAGCACTAAAAACAATAGGCCTGATGCTTGTAGGAGAATCCAAACTAGAATGTGAGGTGTGCATTCCACCAAGAGACCACAACCAAGCACACAGAGGAAGGAAAGGTCAGCGAATGTTCTTGAAAAATTAATTTGTAGGCAGTGGTGGATACTCTACAGCAGAACTGCGGTAGGGGCTATCACAGAATCAACTTACTGTTCTTTTCCATAAATTCTACTTTCTCTAGACAATACTGCATTTGTCCTTGTGCATTTGAGGCCTTTAGTGTTTGTAAGCCATACTTTTGATCACCACCATATAAAGAAGTAAAAGTTTTCAACTGAGACTTTAACTGTGACAATATTACAAGGGTAGACAGAAATAAAGAACAGAAAACAGAACTTTGATTCAACGATTTTGGCTGCTTTGTTATTATTAAAGTTTGATAAATAAGACCCTTAAAAGATCTTTGGTTCACGCTGGGTGTGGTGGTGTGCAGTTTTAATACCTGCCTCAGGGAGGCAGAGGCAGCCGGACCTCTATGAGACCAACAGCGAGACGGGACAAGGGAGACCTTGTTAAAAAAACTATACACACATACACAAACACACAAACACACACACACACACATCCTTTGTTCAAGTAAAAGCAATTTTTAATTTTTAGCACATACTTTTTACTTTAGAGTCTAGTTTGTTATTTACTTTAAGGGTTCATGAATTTTTCTTGACCAGATTTGAGTAAAAACATCCTCATGGTCTCTCAAATTCAAATAATTTATTCACTTCTTCATTCATTTTCTGAAAACAAAAAGACCATTGTTCTTCTACTCTGGCCATTGTGTACCAGCCAGAACGCAATGTGCAGGCAGGATGCTGATTTTAACGTCAAACATGTACAATGTATAAGAAACAGAATTCATCTACCTTTGTGGTCAGCTTCTCTGGGCTCTTCAGTATCACCGGACCTTACTCTGTTCTGTAACTCTAAAGGAGACTGAAGAAATCTCACCGTTGTGTAAGTCACCTCCTGGTTGCTCATCTTGGGAGTAAGTGAAGCTGTGTTTGGTGTAAAACTCTTGACTTGATTTTCTGTCTTTAAAAGGTTAAAATATCAACGTTTAGGAACATACCAGGATTTGATGCACTGAGTGTAAAGGGGTGGATTTGCTAAAAGATTACTGATTCTTTAAGGATCTGAATCATATGAACTAAGCCTGATTTACACAAGATGTAAAAGGCTTTTGATACTTCTATTTATATCATTTATTCATCTAGTAGTCACAATAATTAGGAAATGTGGAAAGAATATTAAAATCTGCTAATAAATCATTGTACTATTGACACAGCCAATTTTGTTCCAAATATTCATCCTACAAAAAAACATCAGGCAAAATTGGTACCACCTTAAAACATGGAAACACTTTGTTTTGTGTTTCATTTTGTTTCTTTTTATTTTGTTTTGATTTGTTTTGAGACAGGATCTCCCTCTAGCCCCAGCTGGCCTGGCGCTCACTACGTAGACCAGGCTAGCCTCCATCACACAAAGATCCACCTGCCTCTGCCTGCCGAGTGCTGAGATTAAAGACATGCACCACCACACCAGGGAAACACGGAAACACTTTTAAACTATCAATTCAAATACAAAATTCAAACTTTCTGAAAAAAATCTTTTATTCAAAACTTTGACATATATTCTGATAAACACATAAGGGTGAAAATGTTCTTGTAGTCTTTTGAGTTACATATGTTTCTATCAGACTTTCATAGATGCTATCTCCAAAACTGTTATTTAAAGGTTAGTACTGAAGATGATTAAAAATGTGAATTATAAGTTTGATAAATAACTGTTGCGTTGAAGCCCAAACACCTGTATTTTTAACTATGAATGATTCTACGTGTATGAGCATTTCGTCAACAATTGGTCGTCAATGATGTTCCCAGAGATGTGTATGTAAAAATAAAATTTGTTGATAGGTATTTGTTATCTAAAGTCCATAAAGGACTCATCTGATAATGGATACCAATACAGAAATAATTAAATAAACATACTTATAATTTGCATTTATTCTTATATTAATCAGTATGAGAAGGCAAAGTCTAATAATCAGGTAATATGGAAAACAAATTGTTCATGTATTCCTGTCAAATTATTTTAATCTATGAAATTTTCTAAACATTTCCATTTTTCTTAATTTCTTTAGAAAAAAAGTCTTTCCTATCAGATTTCTTCTAAGTAGGTAAGATAATTTGTAAATCATTCAACCCAATTCAAAAGTCAGTAACTCCACAAATCCCTCTTCCTTGTTCTCTTATTTCATAGCAAAACCCACAGCACATCAAGGAAGAGAAAAAGCCTCTTCATGAATGTGAACTCCAGTTTCCACAGAGCTAATGCTGTTCTCACAGGATCAATAAAGACAGCTTCCCTGTCAGTCTCACTCTCCTGCCACACCGTCTGGAAATCTGAAGTAATAAAACCAGCGTTTACCTGAATCTCAGCCGGGCAGTGATGCAGGTGGAGAGAAGTGGTCCCAGAGAGGACAAGCAGGCTCTCTGTCCTGAGCCCCTCAGAGGCTCCAAGGTGAAAGGCAGAAGTGCGTGGCCGCTGAGGGATCCTCCAGCGCAGTGTTCTGCCCCTCCACGTGACCAAAGTGAAAAGAGGAAATTATGTGATGAAAGCTCATAGTGCCAGGGAAGGAAAGATGGTGAACAGCTACATTGTCCTCCATTAGAAATAAGTACTTGTGCACCAAAAATATGTTCAAAATCGGTAGATGAAGACTGAGCAGATAAAGGAACATGACTTTAGAAAAAAAAAAAAAGCACAAGTATTTTTAGCAGAAATCGAAGATGCTTACAGGAAAACACTAGGAAGAAAAGATGACTAAAACATTTATGTATTTATATGTATGTGTAAGAAATGGTGTATGGTCCTCATCTCCACACTTTACCATCAGAGATTCTCTGTTGTTTAAAGAGATTACTTCAGTTTTTTTGAATTATGTTTCTTGCAGCTCAGTGTATTTTAGGAATGCCTTTAAAACAATCACATTTCACTGTGAAATTCTTGGTGTATTCTGAAATTCTTTGTTTCGTGGGTTGTTTGAGACATGGGTTCCGTGTAGCCCAAGATGGCCTGGAACTTGCTGTAGTGACCAAGCTGGCCTCAATCTCATAGACATCAACATGCCTCTGCCTCCTGAGTGCTGGGATGACCATGAGGGCTTCCAGTTTTTTATCTCTATGTAGTGTTTACTGTGGAAGTTGGTGTTGGTCCGTATGCAGTGGTGCTGGGCATCAAACTCGAGGCCTTGGGCCTATTAGGCGAGTGCTTTACCACTGAGCCACACCCTCAGTTTTTGGGTTTTGTTTATGTTTATGCTGTTTTTGTTTTGGGCTTCTTTGTTGTTTTTTAAACACGGGGTCTTGTTATGCCACTGAGAATGGTCTTCAAATTACTCTATAGCACAGGCTGTTCAAACTCAGGGTCCTGCCTCTGACAATTCAGCACCAGGAGGAGTACAGCTCTATACAACAATGGTTTACAGCCCAGGTTGATCAATTGTTTTCTAAGTAATAAGCATTTCCTCATTTTATAGATATTCAACTACACTTTCCTCCAGACTACTGCATGTTTTCAACATAGGACCTACTCTAGGCTGTGCCTCATCTGGCCTGCTTCTATCCCCTTACGTGGTCCTTAATCTTCTAGATCTCTGAGTCACCACTCAAATCTGCCATTTGTCAGCACACACTAGAGATCAGCCTAAATACAGTCCAGCCATTAATTCATCTCAACAGTGTAAGTACAGGTCCTTGGATGGAGTGTGGATATTCAAACCTTAAGCTTTTTAAAATCATATGTAATAATTAACTACTTGTATATAATTTAGACATTTACAATCCCTTACTTTTGAATACTTGTCATTTACGATATTTTTATTTTCCTGTTTCTTCATTCTTTCTTTTATTTTGTTTGTTTTTGTTGTTATTATGAGCTTAAAAACAATTTGGTCTGTAGACTGGTGAGATGGCTCAACAAATGAAAGTACTTGCTGCACAAACCCAACAACCAGATTTCACAGTAGGTTAGAATCATCTCCCAAAAGTTGTCCTCTGATCTCCCCCCTCACACACACATGCACCTGCACACACAAATAAAAATAATTAAATTAATTTTTTTACTTTGGCCTGTAATTTTGAATACACTCTTAGGAAGCATTTCAAACATGAAGTTTGTCAAGTACATTTAAATAACTTTAGCATATTACCAAATATTCTCTACTCATGGTGTAGTGCAGAGGGGCCTGGCTTGTCATATGCAAAGCCCAAGGCTTGATTCCAAGCACATAATAATAAATAATAATAATAATAAATTAATAATGATAGGAGAGGAAGAAATGGACATTTATTTTTGTAGTCTGTTGCCATAAGATAGACCTTGCCAGAATATATTCAGATCTCCCATAAAAATTCACTGTCATTTGAATAAGACTTTTCCAATTTTCTGTCGTATTTTCTATGAAAACTATTTAAATTGCCCTTTAAATTTCCAGTCTCCACATAGTGGTCAACAATTTTCTTTCTGTAACTTACGTGCCAGGGCATCTACTGCTATCTTTTCACCTCCATGGCATGTACATGGTATACCACACACACACACACACACACACACACACACACACACACCCCACAGGGGAGAAAAACACTCATACATATAAAATAAAAATAAATCCTTTTTTCACTAAAGAAAAGACAAAAACAGGTGACAGTGCTTAGGAAGCACCAGGGGGAGGAGCTGAACAACAGAAGAGGAACTGGTTATGCAGGTAAGACTGACACCCACCTCACCTCACCCGGCCCTGGCTCAGTTCCCTGCTTGTTCTTCATTTACTGACCCCTGGACAGCCTTCGCCCATCACTCTTCAGAGGCTTCCTCATCCTTCAGTGGCCCCTGTGTCCCAGCTTCTCTCCAGACTACTGCATATTCTCAACATAGGACCTACTCTAGGCTGTGTCTCATCTGGCCTGCTTCTATCCCCTTACGTGGTTCTTAATCTTCCAGATCTCTGAATCACCACTCAAATCTGCCACTTGTCAGCACATACCAGAGGTCAGCCAAAACACAGTCCAGCCATTAATTCATCACAACAGTGTATGTACAGGTCCTTGGATGGAGTGTGGAAGCTTCCAGAATACCTGCTGTTAGACATTTTCTTTTCTATCCTCTCATCCAGGATTACAAGATCCCGAGCCTTGTCCTTAAATCTAAGGAATAGATAGTTATTGTCAGGGAGGCTCAGAGGTGATCTGTGGTTGAGGAAATGGCAGAGACACCGCCATCAGAGGACGGCCCGTGTGATGCAGGACCATTTTGAAACCTCCCCAAACTGGCAGTGGTTGTCTCCCTTTTCCAAAAGAAGAGACCATTCGAAGGTAAAGTAACTTACTTAAGGGCATGTCTTTGCTACTCTAGACCTATGTTTAAAATAAGGACTTGCTCAGTACATAGAACATGGACAGAATATAGACTCAGAGCGACCTGGGTTTTCAACAAAGATGAAAACATGAGTTCCAAAACCGAGGAGACGCTACCAGACTGGAAATACCAGCCTGAGCTCCTTGGTGACTTCAGCTAAGTCTCCACATCCTCAAAGTCTTGGATTCACTACAGCACACTGGCAGTGCTATTTCCCCTCATGTTTGCCTTGAGGATTAAAGATACGTAAATAGTGCTTGACCATAACCTGGCAAATGTGTGGTAGGCTTTCATTGAAGATTAAATCGTATTATTTGAAGTTAAGATTCAAATCCTTCCTAGTAGTAGAAATTCGAACAAGTCACTCTGAATGTTCAAACCTTGACATTTTCATTTGTTCACTGAGGGAAACGCAGTCCTGGGATAAATGAAATGAGCACTACAGGTAGGATTTCTTAGACTTCAAAACAATATTTGCAGCCACATGTGATTGCACTGGCCTTTAATCCCAGCACTCAGGAGGCAGAGGCAAGCAGATCTCTGTGAGATTGAGACCAGTCTGGTCTACATATTGAGTTCCTGGTCAGCTGTGGCTACAGGGAGACCCTATCTTTAAA